TGATAGCATTGATATGACACCACCTATCCTCTATCGGTATGGAAGAGGAGGTAAAAGGAACAAACAGTAAAAGCAGCTAATGACTACGGTAAACAGCAGAAGGATCAGGAGAGAGGACACGTCACTACTTGAAGGGTTTTGCTCTGCGTGAAGGTTTTACTATAAAGCTTAGCAGTTAAAGACTTTTGGCTTTTTATGCAAATTGTAGAGAGAGATAGGAGAGTCGGGACTCCTGAATATCCCTTTGTTCTTGTTTTTTGAGTACTTCTTTGGAGTTTATTGAAGGAGAGAGTTTACATTTCATTGTAAGAAAACCTTATTTACAAGTTTGAATCTTTAATCTTTTCACCGACAAACTCTTGGGATATGGTGAAGATCCGACAGTTCTTACCTCATTATGAGGGACTTATACGCCAAATCTTGTTAAGTTCCTTTAGACTAAAGGACTCCCTTGTTTGGTTACCTGACATTTCAGGGAAATATACAACAAAAACGGGGTACACTCGTTCGATATCATAGAGCACTCCATGTCTTGATGCTTGGTTTAAGTGGTGGGAGATTATTTGGAGTATTAATACAACCCCAAAAACACAGAACTTCTTCTGGAAACTAAAGAATCATGCTCTCTCAATTGGTGAGAATTTAGCTCTCAGAGGAATTTCATCGGATTTGAGATGCAAAAGATGTGGAGGACAGGATGAAGAGCTCAATATTTTGTTTACATGCCCGTTTGCAGTCAAAGTGTGGGATTTAATCCCCTCTCTTCACAAACCAAACCGAGATGAGATAAACTCCTTGTCTTTGCTCCTTTCAAAATCGAGGCAGATAATAAATCTTCCTCCATCGGGTCTACTAGTCCCTTTTCAACCCTGGATTTTTTTGCTCTTATCGGAATGCTCTGGTTTCTTAGGGAACATGAGGTGTAACAGGGACTTTAGGGAACATGAGGTGTAACACCCCTGACCCAGATTAGGTCAACGTTGACCCGATTGGTTGCGCAACAATCAAACAAGAACATGCGCACCTAACCGTAGACCTAGAACCAGACCAAAGATGCTACATATGTGCACTTAGCCGTTTATTCCGAGGTTCTAGAAACACATTCAAGAACCCTAGTATAAACGTCCAAGCACACATCTTCCGATCGAACACAACCCAAGGCTTTTCAACCCGAGTTATGAGCGATAGTTGGTTCGTCCTGACTATGACTAGTATCATATGCAACCCAAGTTTAAACAAACTTCTTTTTATACGTACTTATACATAAGTTTT